GGGAAAGAGAGTGTTACCAAATCAAACAACTTTCGAGAGTGGGACCCAGTTGCCTCATCTTAAAAGAGCATTTCTCTCTGTCTCTCTGTCTCTCCCCTCTCCCTCCCCGTCTCCCTCCCCAGTCTCTTTTCCTCTCCTCCCTGTCTCCCCAGATGTGCTGGGTAAGCGCATCTCATTCCAAGTGACTCTTCAGCTTTCAGATTCAAAGGAAAGTCCCCTCCACCTACCCCAAATGAAGCCCAACTCCTACGCAACCCCCACATCTGGGCTAGTCTCCAACAGAAGCATTTTCTTTCCTGGCTGGCCAAGAGCTATAAGATCTGGCAGGAGCTCTCACCTCATCCCCACCAGGAACTTCCTGCTTTCTTCTCCTCACAGATGGAAGCTGCCCTCAGCTCCCCTCCTGCCTGGGTTCTGAATTTCAGGGCCAGGGTGATAAACCACTGGCCGAGTTTCATTTTGTTTTTATAACATAAAACGTATAAAACCTGAGTCACTGGCTAAGTCCTCCTGTTTACGACATAGGGATTTAGCTGGTATTTTAACTAATAGCTACATGTTTGGGCACCCCAAGCCCAATCTCTTGGGGTTACACCCTCTCTCCTTGTTGGATCACCTCATACATCTGTTGTTGTCTCTGAAAACAAACTGAACCAAAAGGTTTGGAGGTGTTGGCCCCTCTGTGAGCCTCTTCTCCCCTCCTCCTAGGGTGGACCTTCTTCTCCACCCTTCGGCTCAGCTTTTCTGAACTGGCAACACTAGAATGTCTGGATGGTCAAGGAGGAATTATCAGGCGGTTTGTGACCTCGCCATACCACCCTGGCTTCTCCGATGAGGCTCTCTGCTTGGTCACAACAAGTGGGGTTGGGGGCGGGGGCACCATCTCTCTGCCAAGACTTGTATCTGTCTCTAGGGCAGTCAGACCCATAAAGTACAGATCATATAGGAACCCCAACCCCTGGTCTGTCGGGGAAGGACAGAGCTTCCTAATTAACATGTTTAGCAACTCTTCTTTTTTCCTTTAATAATGGTAGACTAGCCCTCTTATAAAAGAGTAAATAACTGCATGAGGACAATTTCAGCTCTGAGTGACTCGCACATCACTCCTGGGTCAAATTCTGCCCTTGGTGACTGGCACGCGTCCCTCAGGCACGCGTCCCTCAGGCAGGCCTGTGGCAAACTCAGTCGTCCCACAGTCTCACTGACGAAGACCTGGGAAGCGAGCCTGCAGTAGTGGCAGCTGCACAGTTTTATCATAGCCAGTGGACTTTGGGGGACTCACACAGTTCTCCCCAGACTAAGAGGCTGTAGGCCAGTGGTCGATATGCAAGGAGCTCTGATTGGTGCAAGGCCATGGGACACAACTTCATGAGGAAATTACTGTCCCCTGCAAGTCTCCAAGAGAGAGATAGAAAGTCCCCAGGAGAGAGTTCGGGACAGAGAAAGGAGGGATGATCAGGCAGGAGGAGAAGACCAGGGATGAATGTAGATACTGTGGGACTGCAGGGCCCAGAGCCCAGAGTAGTGTCTTTTGTCTAACAGTGCACTTAAGGCAGGACTTGGGTTCCACGGCTACCTTTGTTCATCCCTGCAAAAGCTCCAAGGGCCTGTGGCAGGTACAACAGCAAGTTCACATCTTCCTTTTTTGTGTGTGTAACACCCCCACCAAAGGAAGATGGGGAGAGGAGACATTGATCCTTCTTCTTCCCTCCTCTTGCTTTTCTTAGCTTGTCCAAGTCCTCTGACTCCTTGTGGTGAGAAGGAGGCCCCCTTAGACTTGGCGTGTTCCCCAGCTCCTGGACCAGAGCCTGTCTGATGCCCTAACCGATAGTGGGGAGCAGAGAAGTGTGGGCAGAATTAGGCTCACCATCAATCTAGATATCAGAAATAGTTGGCAGTCGCTCATCCCAAGCGTAAGCGATGAGGCTCACGGCCCATTGGAGACAGACAGGGAGGAGGCATCCCTGGGTTCCCTGCCAAAATATTGGCTATGTCCTGCTCTCGTACTCCCCTGTGCTCCCGATCCCAACTGTCCTCCCCAGGGCTTCGCCTACCAAGTTGGCTCTCTTTGTCTGTTACCACTCACCAGTTTGTTCGGTCTTGACAATGACATTGTGCGTGGATTGGAACAGGTCACTGCTGCACTGGCCTGTGAACAGATTGGGAAGGTCAGAGAGGGCTCGCATGGAGCCAAAACTTGATGTTTAAACAAAGATGGAGCTGGCTTCTTGGGAGAGTTTCTGCCAATCCCATGCCTGATCACCTCCATGTGCTTATGGAAGGGGCCTCTCTCTGCATCTACAAACCCAAGCCTGGTCCCTGGTCCAGAAAATCAATAGCTAGGGCACCCACATCAGATGGAATTTTGGGGCTTGAATATGGAAGGCATCCAGTACGGTGGGACTAGAACTTCAAAAATCAGAAGGCCAGTTTTTCCACTAATAACTGCAAGGCACTTCATTTTTCTGGGTCTTGGTTTTCTCATCTGTAATTTTAGGGGATTAAACTAGATAAAGTCATTAGATGACTTCTAAGGTGCTTTCCAAAACTAAGATATGATACAAAATGAAAACAAAAATATAAGGAAAATCATTTTAATTTAACTAACGATTCTTTTTTAATCCTAAATGTAATCAAACCCCATTTTGATTAGATCCAATCTATGTGCTATGTGGATAAATGCAGTGATTCTTCCCTTATTTATGCCTTGCAGCTTCTCTCTAGATAAGTCATATGTAAAAGCATGTATATATCTATGAATAAATCTCATGTTTTTCTTCCCCAGACAGATTATAAATATTTTGGGAGCAGGGGTCATGCCTTTAACCTCTCTGACCTTCAGTTTTCTCTTCTGTAAAACGGGAACAACACTTTTTCATAAGGTCATTAAATGAATCAATTCACTTAGAGTGTCTAGTATAAGTAAACACTTGACAGTTGTAAATTAATAGAATGTCTACAAAAAGACAAACAACAAAACAAAGGTGAGAAATCTGGTCATTAGGCATTTGCAGAGGCACCGACAGCACACAGTGGGGCCAAACAAGCCACTGAAGGTCAAAGATGGAAGGTCATAGATGGAAAGGCAAAGACGGCCGCATCCCCTCTCAGGATTCCCTGCCTTAGGCTGCAATCAAAGCAAAGCTTTAAAGGATTGGATTTCATTGGAGGTGGGAGGTAAATATTTTTAATTCTTCAACTGTAAGTCTGTTCTTTCTGAAGATTCCTGGGGGTTATTTATAGAGCCTTGTTTGGTTTGGTTCTAGTAAAAGAAAAATGAGCAACCACCTCTGTAAGGTGGGTGGGAAGAAGGAAGTGCCCAGGAGCTGAATAAGGTCATCCAAAATGGCCACTACTGCTGCCACCTTTGTGACCAGACTCTGGGTCCTCCACAGTGTCAATGAGAGCTCTCAGGGTCTAAACGTGGTTCATAGCCCTGGAACTCGTGCTTTCCACAGCCCCAGCTACCTGCCTAAACACAGGTGCTGCTAAGACGGACCTGCTCATTCTGATGTGGACAGGACAGCTCACTAGTCTTATACATCACTGCTTTCCAAAATATTCACAGTTCTCTGAAGAGCTAGCTTTTTACAGCCATTATCAGGGGAACTTTATGACAGCATCGAAGACATTCTGCAAGGTGAGTTGTCTGCCCACCATGTCCTACAAGCCTGTATAGAATGTACGTGTGTGTGAATAAACTGTCAACAAAGGACAGAGTCTGAATGGTGCCTATCTGGGTGCTAAGTGAGACCTCAAAAGAGACATTTGGGGTTCTAGGGCAGTGCCAACTCCAGAAATCACTGCAGAAACATCCCACACATGTCCAGACCATTAATTCTACACCTCCCGCCACCGCTTTTTTAAGTTAATGGAACTTTTACAAATCTGCTGAAATATTGTAAGCCTTCTCCCCTTCTAAAACGCAAACATAGATCCAATTTTGTATATCTTTTTACCACCCTTAGGTTCTATCTTAAGAACTTAGATCTAGACTTTAAAAAAAAAAACAAGTAGCTATGATGATCTTAACAAGCGTATAATTGGGAATTAAACTATTAAACTCTGCGAGGGAAAGTAGAAAAGGTTTTCTGAGAGCAGCAACTATTCTGTGAATGCCCAGCTAGCCCTTGTGTCCCGGAAGATTAACCGTAAGGAAAGAATTAAATTGCACTGGGTTTGTAGAGAACTAGACATATCTTACATTCTAGGCTTCATGCCTATCTTCTCACTTCCCTCCTACTTCCCTGTCTTGGAAACAGTAATTTGGAAGTGAGACCATCTTCTGATGCCCCTGACAAGGAATCCTGCTGGC